ATAGGAGGTGATGATGTATTATGGAGGAGGGGAAGGAAGAACAAAGGCCAACCAGTTTTTTGAAGGCTCGACGGAGACGAGCAGTTTCATTCAGAAGGAAAGTGCGAGGGAGGATAGCAGTTTTCCAAAGAAAGCGGATGCGAGGAAGTAAGACGTTACGAAGAATGTATGAAGCAAGTTTGTCCCCCATCACCTTCCCCTGGATGGTGGTGAGGACATCAGAAATGGCAGCAGAGATCTGTTTTCGAGCAGAACTCGAACGACCATCGGCAGAGAAGAAATTCCCGAGGTGGCGGAAGGAAACAGAGTCGGGCTGGATGGGGATTGGGGTCTGACCCCACATAATCTGTCGAGGGCTGTTGGGAGGAAGGTTGGCGGCAGAAATGAAGATTTTGCAGGTGTTCGACTCGATGCTGTTGTGGGACTGGTATTCGTGGAGGATGTCAGCCTGGTGTTGTAGATCAAGGTAAGAGCAAGAGAGGGTGTTGGTGTCGTCGACCAGGGCAAAGCCAGAAACTGAGACTGGTCGAGTGGGTGAGAGGAGGGGGGCAGGCATGGATGGGGGGGGAATTAACAGAAAAAGTGATGCCGTGGGTGTGCTTGTCCAGCGCGCAAAGAACAGGGTCCCAAAAGATACGCCAGTCGAGAGGTCCTTCTAGCGAGCCTTGTTGTATCATAGTGCCAATAGGGAAGGTGGGGGAGGGACCGAAGGCCGTGATGACAAAGGAGCGGAAACGAGCTTGGGTGTTGACACGCATCCGGACGTAAGATTCGGGCAGTCGTATACGATACCAGGCTGAGAGCAGGCCGGCAACAGGGGCACTGTCGAAGGCTTTCTTGATATCGTTGAGGAGGAGGAAAAGCGGGGGAAGAGTTTTCATGGCAGAAATCAAGGGCAGAGCGGACCAAGTGGAGAGGAGGATCGGGTGATGAGCCAGGAAGGGCGGAAAAGTTACGGCCGCGAAGGATCTCAGGGGAAGCGGTGAGGATATGTGAAAGGCGACGAAGGCGGATGCCTTGAACTACTTTTGCTGCGAGTTCACAGAGGCTTATGGGCCGGAGGTTCGTGACATCGCCCCCCCATGCATCTTTCTTTGGTATGGGGAAGATGGCAGTGAGGGTCCAAGAGGAGGGAACGTCGAGGACGAGAAAGGTTCGTTGGACGAGGGAGAGGAAGAGGGAGATTGCATCAGGGCCTGATGAGAGAAGGAGTTCTCGAGAGAGTTGGGAGGGGCCAGGGGCTTTGTTAGGAGCAAGGGATTCAAGGACCGAACGGCATTCTTCAAGAGAAGGGGGAAGCATAATGTGGGAGAAAGTGTGCGGAGGAATGAAAGGCCGGGGGTTCATTTCGTCGTGGAGAGGGGAGGTGGGGGGGAAGGGGTGAAGGTCCCGGGGGCGAAACCAATGTTCCACCTGCTCGCTGCAAAGACGTGGGACGTTGGCGGGGGTCGTACTCAATTTCAGGACCCTCTGGGGTCTCCGCCAAGATGTGATCAATGCTGGAGTTAGACCGTTTGCGGTTGAGGATGTTGTTGAGGACGTTGCGGATCCTGCCAGTGGAGAACAAATCCTGGCGACGGTCAATGGCAGTAGCAATGTCAGCACGTTTAAGTGAGGCTGCCGCAGAAAGCTGTGCACGGTAGGACTGCTTTGCGAAGTCGTTGCAGGAGAGGGAGGGCGTCGTTGGTGAAGGAAGTAGCCGATGTAATGGAGCTGGTGAAGCGAGCAAAGAGAAGGCACAAATCATCACGAACAGGGGAGGCATTCCACGAGGTGGGTAGGGGAGGAAGAGCGCCAAGAAAGGAGTGTAGAGGGAGGGTACCACGGTGTGTAGTTGTTTCCAAAGGTCCTCAAGTTTCTTCCGAGCCTCAATGTAAGGGGCGAGGCGTTGGTCAGTCTTTGCTGGAGTTGTGGACGAGCCAGAGCAAGGGAGACAGCGTCGGGCAGCGCTGGCGACGAGCTCATGGAAGGAGGAAGAAATGGTGTCCAGGGATTGGGTGTATAGGAAGGAGCGACCAATGGAGGGATATTCGAAGGGAAGGGAGGGTTGGGTAAGAAAGGTTTGTTCGGCGGGGGTAAGCGTGGAATCCAAGGCGGCGAGGTCAGCTTGGAGAGGTGGGAGAGCGGCTGACACTGCGTTGATAAATTGGCGTTTCTGGTCCTCGGAGGCCTGGGAAGGGCAGGGAATGCGTCGCCGGATGGGGGTAAAGGAGAAAGTAGTGTATGGACAGAGGGCAAGGATGATGTAACAGGGAAGGTGGTCGGAGATGTCAGAGAGATGGGGGAAGTCAACGGGGTGTAGCAATATGAGCAGAGGCAAGATGGTGGAGAAAAAGTGTCAGATAGCCAAATGGCGTCGAGACGAGAGCAGTAAGGAGAGTTGGTGGAGGAGTGGGAGTAAACAGAGAGGTTGGGATGAACGGTGCGAAAGGTGTCAGAGAGGCCACAAGCAGAGAGAGTAGGTAGGAAACCACGACGAGAGGGGGGGATAGGAGCTGCTGTGTTATGGTCAAGGGGAGAAAGGAGTGCATTCCAGTCACCAAACCAATAAGCTGGGTGAGGTTGGGCGGAGTCATGGTTGAGGAGGTTGGTGCACCACTCTTGAAGAGGAGCAGTTTCAGGGGACTGTCGCAAGGCAGGCCAGTAGACAGAACGAAGGAAAAGGCGGCGGCGATGAAAGGAAAGGGTGATGGCAAGGCCCCTGCTGGAGTGACGAATGGTGTTGATGACGTGTCGATGGAAGGAGGATGTCAAGATGAAGCCAACGCCAGAGTGTTTTGAGGTGGAGGCGTCGGTGAATATGCCAATGTAGTTATTTGCTGCGTGTTGGCGGACGGCGTGTGTGGCGTGAGCGGCAGTGCAACCGGTTTCTTGGAGCGCAAGAATGGAAGTGCCTGTAGATTTCATCCAGCTTAGGATGGAGGAGCATTTGGCGACAAAGTTACGGCCCACGTTCCAAGTGGCAAAGCGAGGGGGTGGAGGGGGAGGCGGGCCCAAGTTTGGAGAGGGAGGTGGCATTGGTAATGGATATGTCTTGTATATATGAATGTTTTTTTTTTTATTTTTTTATTTTTTTATTTTTTTTTATTTTATTTTATTTTATTTTTTTTTTTTTAAAGAGGGATGTAGTCAACGCCGGGCGCTGCTGGCAGTACGCGCAGCAGAGGTAGAAGCAGAGTGAGAGCTCAAGGAGCCAGTAACAGCGGACGAGTAAGTTGGTGGGTGTGACTCATGGTGGGGGAAGCAGATGGAGTAGTGTCACAAGAGGATCGAAGGGGGCTGTGGGCACGAGGAGCCCCATGCGAAAGGAGGGCCTGCTCGACAGATTGCTGCGCATAGGGTAGGAGTGCGTTTACCACCTCAGAACGAAAACGGGTATGGATTTCGGCGACAGCGTTGTCAATCTGAGTCTGGACAGCACTCAGAACGAAGCCATCTCGGTGTTCAAGGGTGGGTGAGGCGTTCGCTGATACAGCTGATGCTGTCAGAATGGTTGGAATATTTCGACGGACAGTCTCCAAGGCCGACGACATTTCGCGCAGGGCTGTCTGCTGGTCATTGCGAATAGAGTTGGCAATATTCTGTTGCTCTGTGCGAAAGGCCACGAGTTCTGAGGTTTGTGTCTGCGCGACCTTCTGTTGGTGGGTCGCGTGCTGCGTAATCAGACTACGCATGTCGTTCATGAATTGAGCCATTTCCAAGAAAGCTGCCTGATGGGGGGGGGAAGGAGGGGGAGGGGCAACGGTCGAATCAGCAGGAGGGGGTTGGGGTACAGTGCTAATAATGGGGTCGGGTCGAGGGCGGGGGCGGAAGTTGGTGCGTGCTGCGAGCGTGCAGGTTGCAGTGAAGTGTTCAGTAGAACCGCAGCGTTGACAGCAACGAAAGGGGGTACAGTCATCGTTTAGGTAGGGTTGAAAAGGGGTGGGGCGGCCATTAATGCGGATGGAGGTTCCGATGGAGAGAAGATCAGTGCGGTGGGGGAAAATCAAAAAGGCTTTGTTGGAGCGGCCAGCGGAGTTGGTAGTGGGGTTGTAATAGCCAGGGTTGCGAATCAAGGTACACCCAAGGTTGCTTGCCAGAGGGCCCAAATCAAAAGCAGTGAGTGATGAGGGAAGGTTGAAGAGGACGCCAGTACGAAAGTTTTCGTCAGCGATGCGAGCTTCTCGTTGGGCCTGGGTTTCGCGGAGGCGGATTGCGACACCAGCGCCTTCAACAAAGGCAAACGGGGGAAAGTTACGGGGCAGGTTGACGAAAAGAACGAAGGCACAGGTGGTGGCGTTAGTCTGGTTGTGGGTATAGGCAATATCAAGGATGTCGCCACTTTTACGGAGGAGGGAGCGGAGGGCGCAAGTGATAGAGGTTCTGTGAGAAGGGAAAGTGCCAGAAAGGACGCCTGGGGCAAGGTGTGTAACAAGAAGTATGTTGTTGAAATCCCGATTCTCCAAGTAAGTGGTTGCGTTGAACGGAGGAAGCCCACGAGGCAGCCGGTTATAGAACACAGTGTGCTCTGTGAAGACGGAGGATTGGATCTCGGTGATGCGTTCCGTAGTTGGCTCCTCAGTGAGACTCAGAGTAAGGAAAGGAGGGTCGTGTGAAATGGTGATGGGCGCAGCGAGGGGGATCGAGTTTGCGGCACAGACTTGAGCGACCTCGTCGATAAGCGGTTGCCAGTTGTTGTTATTCGGGCTGGTCACGGAGATACGAAGCAGATGACGGGTGGAGGAAGTCGTGACTGAGGGCACGATGGGCGCGTCCATGTTTGCAGGGGCGCAGTGGGCGATCGCGGATGCAAGGGCGGAGGTGACAAGTCAGGCGGAGTTTTTTGACGCGCGCGAGCGTCCGCTTCCAGCATCCTTCACTGACGATGAAAGAAAGTTTCCTGCGTTTGCGCCCGACTGATGGAGAGACAACAAAGGGGAAGAAGCTCAAATTGTTGAAGTCAACAATTTCATTCAAAGTAATCCTAATCACCAACTTGTTTCAACCATGGCGCCATGGCCCGACCAAGCTGGGGTTTGAACCCAGGCTCTTTTCCTTCGGAGGGAAACATGTTACCACTACACCACTCGGCCGATGGAAGGGCGGACAGTGCTGCAAAATTATGTATTCTGCCAAAGCACTGGAGTATGCGAGCAAACGCGCTGGAACCGGAGTGGTGGTCAGTGCGGGCTGCCCAAACTGCGAGCAAGCACCAGTGCCTGGACCTAACGCATTGAGTAGTGGCGAGCAGAGTGCGGGTCAGGTATGCCCTACGCTGCCGTAATGATTGACGCAAGTTCCTGCACGCTGAACCACTCGGACGTTTTGCCTTTCGCCGTACACGTGAACCCTTGCCCCGCGGTAAAGAGCCGCACGACTACCGGGAACATCGAGGCCGCGGATGCCGTGACTTCGCGCGGGACGATATGTATGCGACCAGGTGGAGGGGGAAGAGGGAGGGGTAAGCGCTGGCGGTCCCCTAACACACGCGAGAGCGTTCAACGCTCTCGTGACAGGGATACGATGGACGGAGTCGTCGTTGGCAAACGGAGGCGAAGTATGGTGTGTGAAGAAGCAATTGCAAAAATGATTTGACGAAGGATCTTGTCTTCGCTCCAGATTTTGTGGACACGTGCGTTAGCAAGACCCGTTTTGTCAGCAAGATCAATTATTAATCATGGTGTCCGCCGAGTCGGCGCACCCTACTTGCCGGGCGCCATCCTCAGAGCCAAAGTTGGCAGACGGCGGCGGCGGCAGCAACGACACCGTCCACGAAGGCGATAACGCTCACGCCGATGTCACCCCGCGTGGGTGCGACCGCATCATCCCGAACCCCGACGAAAGCAACTCCGGCCCGCGCATGAGCCTCTTTCACAAGTTCCTCTCCCTCTGGATCCTCCTCGCCATCCTCCTCGGCGTACTGCTCGGCCGGCTCCTCCCCGCGATCCCCGACGCCCTCGACAAGGCCACGCTCGCGCAGGTCTCGATCCCGATTGCGGTGCTGCTGTGGGGCATGATCCTCCCCATGATGCTGCAGATCGACTTTGCGAGCGTCAAGAACGTGCTGACGAGCCCGTGGCCTGTCGTCATGACGTCGGTCATTAACTATGCCGTGCAGCCGTTCACCATGTACGGCTTCGGGATTTTGTTCTTGAGGGTGGCGTTCGGTGGATACTTTGGCGAAGAGAAGGTGAGCGGGACGAGAGTTGAGAAGACGCCTCCTTTTCCATAACTGCGATTCTTTGAAGGCGAAAAACTACCTGGTCGGAACCATTCTCCTCGGAGGCGCGCCCTGCACCGCCATGGTGTTTGTTTGGTCCCGCCTCATGAACGGCAACGCCGCCTACACCTTGACGCAAGTCGCTGTCAACGACATCCTCCTCCTCATCATCTACAGCCCCGTCGTCAAGCTCCTCGCCGGCACCTCCAACATCAGCATCCCCTGGGACACGCTCTTCCTCTCCGTCGGCTTCTTCATCGTCGTCCCCCTCCTCGTCGCCATCGCCCTCCGCGCGTCCCTCATCGCCGCCTGCGGCCGCCCGCGCGGCCTCTACCTCCTCACTGGCACACTCATCCCACTGCTCGACACGCTGTCCATGTTCTTCCTGGTCCTCACCGTCGCCTTGCTCTTCATCTCGCAGGCCCCAACCATCGCCTCCAACTGGCTCGACATGCTCGCCATCGCCGTGCCGCTGACCGTCCAGACCTTTGCCATCTGGGCACTCACGTACCTGCTCGCGCTGCTGGTCTTCCGCCTGCCGTACGAGATCGCCGGACCTGCGACCCTGATCGCGTGCTCGAATTTTTTCGAAATGGCCGTGGCCCTGGCTGTCGCGCTGTACGGATCTGGCTCGCAGGCTGCTTTGGCGACCGTCGTGGGTGTGCTCATCGAGGTGCCCGTCATGCTCGTGCTCGTGTGGATCAACAATCGGACGAAGCATGTGTTTCCAAAGGCAGAGAGTGAAAGCGAAGTTGTTCTCGGCGACAGAAATGAAGTGAGTGAGATTGTCGAAGTCGTGGAGAAGGCTGCAGAGGAGGATGTGTACTTGCAAAGTCGATGATGTTGTGGGTGGCAAGGGGGAGTGTATTTCTGGAACCATCGCTTGTGGTCGTACGAAACCAAACTGCAATAGACATTGATAGTTGATAGGGTCAACTTCCCGAAATCAGAATGGATTTCGCATTTTTCCCATGGGATGACCGACGCGAATTAAATAATCATGCTTGGGATAACGGTTAATAATATTAATCCGGTCAAACAAGTTGCCAGCAGCGTAGTGTAGTGGAAGCACGTTGGGCTCATAACCCAAAGGTCGAACGATCGAAACGTTCCGCTGCTATAAACCATAGAATCTTCCATGTACCCCTAAAAGCTACCTCTATTTCTGTAAGCCCCGACTGGGTCTCCGCCTTGGCGGTATTCCTTCCCATAGGGACGCTCCCAGCGCTACGTGTTGTGATTGCTCAATTGGCTCTCGTCGCCCTTTTTTTTTGCAACCCCAGGAGGAACTGGATCCGTTTTTGTTGAGGAAGGGCAAAGTCCGAATGAAGTCAAATCAGGGCCGATGTGAGGATAGACATTCCCCGAAGCAAACAAGGCGAAAGCGCTCGGAGCTTGCGGGTCAGTTCCATTTTTGTATATTATTACATGAATCGATTAGAAAATTGGGGCTGTGTCGTCATCAGCCATTCAAATGTCTTGCTGCCAAAAAGGGCGACTAGAAAAAAAAATCAGAGAGAGACACTGGCGCTCTCTCTTATTCGGAAACCTTCAGGGACGCCGGTTCACCCACTCACAACGGCCTCTTAAAAAAGGGCGGATGGCTGGTTCCGCCGCCCCCTCCCCATCCCCTCTCCCTCTTGCTGTTCATCTATCGCCATGAAACAACCCTGCAACCCGATGGCCCCCGTGAGGGCGGACCGCCGCCTGTCCATCTTGGCCTTGGCCCTTTTCGTCCTGCTCGCTGCTACGGCATCTTGCGTCCAAGCTGCCCCCGTTCCGGAAGGCTCTGCCTCGTGGCCGTCAGGTATGTATCTAATTGCTTTCAAGCTCCCACTCAATCTGCTTCAACAGTTAACGCAAGCCCATCCGCTTCCTCTTGGTCCTCAGTGTCCCCCGAGACGACCGCAGAGTCGACTGTCACTGCGACCGCGACCGCCTCCTCGTCGTCTTCGACCCCAACTGAATTGCCAGCCTGGAGGGATTTCTACGTTGGCTGCTTCGTGGACCCCTTTTACCTTCCGAACGCCAACCCGCTGTTCAACCTCTCGCCGCAGCAATGCGAAAGCGCTTGCTTGTCGCTTGGACATTCTTTCTCGGCGTTTGGCAAGGTCAGGGAGGACTGCCTGTGCAATGATGGGCTCTCTCCCGGTGCTGTCGTTCGGATGGACGACGCCGAATGCTTTGCTTCTTGCAAGGGCGATGAATGCGCGGATGTGTATCAGGTTACTGAAATGCAGTCTACTGGTAGGTAAAACTTGGCTTTGGCTGAACCCCCTTGGTGCTTCGATTTCATCTGAAACTAAGCAATTTAAGCCCCACCTCCATCCGCTTCACCCATTTACGCGACTCCATCAGTTTCTTCTTGGTCCTCAGTGTATTCCGTGCCGACTGCAGACACGCCTATCTTTGCGAGCGCAACTGCCTCCTCGTGGTCTTCGACCCCAACCGAATCGCCAACCTTGAGCGCTTTCTACGTTGGCTGCTTCGTGGACCCCTTTAACCTTCCGAATGCCAACCCGCTGTTCAACCTCTCGCCGCAGCAATGCGAAAGTGCTTGCTTGTCGCTTGGATACCTTTTCTCGGCGTTTGGCAAGGTCAGAGAGGATTGCCTGTGCAGTGACGGGCTGTCTCCCGGTGCCGCCGTTCGGATGGACGACGCCGAATGCTTTGCTTCTTGCAAGGGCGATGAATGCGCGGATGTGTATCAGGTTACTGAAATGCAGTCTACTGGTAGGTAAAACTTGGCTTTGGCTGAACCCCCTTGGTGCTTCGATTTCATCTGAAACTAAGCAATTTAAGCCCCACCTCCATCCGCTTCACCCATTTACGCGACTCCATCAGTTTCTTCTTGGTCCTCAGTGTATTCCGTGCCGACTGCAGACACGCCTATCTTTGCGAGCGCAACTGCCTCCTCGTGGTCTTCGACCCCAACCGAATCGCCAACCTTGAGCGCTTTCTACGTTGGCTGCTTCGTGGACCCCTTTAACCTTCCGAATGCCAACCCGCTGTTCAACCTCTCGCCGCAGCAATGCGAAAGTGCTTGCTTGTCGCTTGGATACCTTTTCTCGGCGTTTGGCAAGGTCAGGGAGGATTGCCTGTGCAATGATGGGCTGTCTCAAGGTGCTGCCGTTCGGATGGATGACGCACTATGCTTTGCTTCTTGCAAGGGAGATGAATGCGCGTACGTGTATCAGGTTACTCAAATGCAGTCTACTGGTAGGTAAAAGTTGGCTTTGGCCTATCGCCCCGTTGGTTTGTTTTCACCTGAAACTAAGCATCCCCACCCCCTCAACAACAGCGTCCGCCTCAACAAGTCTTCTCGCTGCTTCAGCGTCTTCTTGGTTCTCATCCGGCACTGACTGATGCAGTCCGTAGAGCATTGGGTGGGTTTGCCGAGGTGAAACCTGGACATAGTCCGTCCGTATCGGTTTTCCGTTGGTGGCTACTTCTCTTACTGCCACCCCTTTGGGGCCGGAAGAATAAAAAATAGTAAAAAGGTGTCGTACTCCACTCCCGGGGCCTCTTCCTGGTTTGGTTCCGCTTCGCCGTCGTATTAGTCGCTCGAAGTTCACCTGGGCGGGTCCACGAACCAGCTGATAACGTCCATTTGGCTATCATTTAGTTGCTTTTGATTTGATGTTGGGTGGACGTTGGGGGAGCACTCACTTCCATCAGAAAATTTTTCGAAATGGCACTGCCATGCCCGCTAGCGTAGTTTCGATCACCCCACCAGCGTCGAATCTTCGCTAAAGATTCACGGTCGCAACGCTCCATCGCCGCCTGCGATCTTCAGGCAGCCGCATTGTTAATCCTCAGCATCAAATCGTTTTCCATCGAGTCGCGCTGCTGCGCTTTGTCGTTTAAAACACC